TCCTTGCTTTACTTGGCTCGGCTTGGCCTCTCCCCCCCCTTTGTTTATTCATCGTCTTTCAAACTCTAACGTTTCTCTCGTGGCTGTTTCTTTTTGGGGGTTCAGGTTCCTTTTTGGTATGTGCCGTTCAGATCTCCAAATCTGGTGAGTTTCATTTTGTTTCATGTGTCTCCTGGAGTGATATCTCTAAATTTGATATCTTGTATCCTGGTTCTTGATTGATTTTTCCCAATTTGGACATATTTTGGGTCTTGGATTTGGGTATATTTTCCCCTACAAATTTGAGTGAGAGTATTTTCATTAAGGAACAAAATTGTTTGTTTCTTTTTTTCTTTCCTTTGTTGGTTTGGAACTTTTGGATAATGAGAGAAACGGTAAGAAAAGTTTGTTTCGGTTTTAAAAAAATGTGCCAACTGCTGAGTTTTCTTGAGTTACTTAAATCGTTATGTTGTCGTTGTTTGGGGTTTTAGAAATGAACCAAACAAGATCTCAATGGCCTTTTTACTGTTAATGTGTCTCATTTTGCGGTCGATTTATTGAAATAATTGAGATTTCTTTGCATTTTGATTGATTTATTAAATTAATTAAATTTCTGCGTTACCTTTCGGAAAACAAAAATAAATTTTGTTTTTATCGTTTCTTTGCTTAAAATTTATGCAATCAATATGGAAAGATAGTTAATGGGCGGGTTTCTTGAGTCAGTTGCTAATACTATATTAATGCTTAGGAAATTTTTATGAGGAAGAAAGACCAAGTATACGTTAGATTCTCCTTATTATGAAGAATTAATAAAATAGCCCCGATTTTGTCAGAAATTTAGAGCTATCCATTTAGAATCATTTACTTCAAGATTTGTCTCGTTTGCGATATGCATAAATTAATTCTGATTTCAGATTTAGTAACTCCCGCAGAAGTTTATTGTTCTTAGATATTCTGAAGGATCTTCTTGTAAGATACAAGACTGGGTCTTTTGGTGTTTTGAGTCCATATCTTTTTCTTTTCTTGCAGATTGTCTTCTCCTGCGGATAAGGCCTCAAAAGATGGGTTGCTCAATGTAGCTCAAGAATAAGTTTATGTTGCTTTCTCATTCTGTGTAGAGGTTTCCGATTCTTGCACTTTGGCTTGTTTGGTCTTTTAGTTCTTTGTTTGATGATCGTTCTTGGTTTGTGTTTCTTTCTCGTTATACTGCTGTTGGCTTGGGATTTTGGCGCTTTATTGGCAGGGAAGAAGCTCTCTTCCACTGCTGCCTCTGTCGCCAGCCAAAAAAGCCATTTTGATATCCTTTTTCATGTCTCATAAATTGGAAAGTCCTGTTCAAACCCAGATGGCAGTGACAGTGTTTAAGAGTGCTTTAC